CTGTGGTCCCAGCTACTTGGGAGGCGGAGGCAGGAGACTCGCTTGAGCCCAGGAGTTGGAGGTTGCTGTGAGCTATAATGCCACGGCACTCTACCCAGGGGGCAGCTTGAGGCTCTGTCTCAAAAAAAAAAAAAAAAATCTTATGTACCATATGTTTTTCCTTTTTCTTTTTCTTTTTTTTTTTTTTTTTGAGACAGACTCTCACTTTGTAACACTCAGTAGAATGCCCTGGCACATAGTTCACAACAGCCTCAAACTCTTGGGCTCAAGTGATTCTCTTGCCTCAGCCTCCTGAGGACCTGGGACTATAGGCACCTGCCACAATGCCTGGCTACTTTTTTAGGGATGGGGTCTCGGGCGGCGCCTATGGCTTAGTGGGTAGGGTACTGGCCCCACATACCCAGGGTGGTGGGTTCAAACCCAGCCCTGGCCAAACTGGACTTAGAGGTTGCAGTGAGCTGTGATACCACGGCACTCTACTGAGGGTAATAAAGTGAGACTGTCTCAAAAAAAAAAAAAGAGAGAGAGAGAGAGATGGGGTCTCACTTTTGCTCAGGCTGGTCTCGAACCTGTGAGCTCAAGCAATCTACCTGCCTTGGCCTCCCAGAGTGCTAGAATTACAGGAGTGAGCCACCTGGCCTGGCCTCCTGTTTTTTGATTGTTTGTTTGTTTTGAGATACAGTGTTACTCTGTCACCCTGGGTAGAGTGCTGTGGCATCATAGGTCACAGCAACCTCAAACTTTTGGGCTCAAGTGATCCTCTTGCCTCAGCCTCCTAGGTTGCTATAACTATAGCCATCTGACACAATGCCTGGCTACTTTTTCTGGGGTTTTTTTGTTTTGTTTTGTTTTGAGAGGTGGGGTCTTACTCTTGCTCAGGCTGGTCTCAAACTCGTGAACTCAAACAATTCCATCTGCCTAACCCTTCTATAGTGCTAGGATTGCAGGTTTGAGCCACCATCCCTGGCCACTATATATATTTCTTATAATCATATACCTATATCTCTCTTTTCCAGTCTTTTGAAAAGCATGTAATTTTTTTTTTTGAGACAAAGTCTCACTTTGTCACCCTCAGTAGAGTACTGTGGCATCATAGCTCACAGCAACCTCAAACTCTTCAGCTTTTTAAGCAATTCTCTTGCCTCAGCCTCCCAAGTAACTGGGACTACAGGCGCCTGCCACAACGCCCAGCTATTTTTAGAGATGAGGTCTCACTCTGCCTCAGGCTGGTCTCGAATCTATGAGCTCAGGCAATCCACCCACATCAGCCTCCTAGAGTGCTAGGATTACAGGCGTGAGCCACCGTGCCCAGTCTAAAACCATGTAATTGCAGTATAACATATGTACAGCAAAATGCTTAAAGTACACTAATTTTAAATTTTCATCTTAATGTTTTAACAGACACACCTCTATAACCATCACTCAGATCAAGATATAAGAACACATTCTTGCACCACCCACAAAGCTCCTCTGGTGCCTTCACCATCAGTATATACCCCCAAGTTACATTCTGGCTTCTGTTATCATGGATTTGTTGTTGTTGTTGGAAACAGAACCTCAAGCTGTCGCCCTGGGTAGAGTGCTGTGTCATCACAGCTCACAACAACCTCCAACTCCTGGGCTCAAGTGATTCTCCTGCCTCCACCTCCCAAGTAGCTGGGACTATAAGCGCCTGCCACAATGCCCGACTATTTTTTGGTTACAGCTGTCATTGTTGTTTGGTGGGCCGGGCTGGATTTGAACTGGCCAGCTCAGGTGTATGTGGCTGGCGCCTTAGCCACTTGAGCCACACACAGCAAGCCCACCATGGATTATTTTTGCTTATTACTATAGATTAGGCTTGTTTGGGTTTTTTGTTTTGTTTTTGAGACAGAATCTCTCTTTGTCACCCTCAGTAGAGTGCTATGCTGCCATAGCTAACAGCAACCTCAAACTCTTGGGCTCATGTGATTCTTTTGCCTCAGCCTCCCAAGTAGCTGGGACTGCAGGTGCCTGCCACAATGCCCGGCTAGTTTTAGAGACTAAGTCTTTCTCTTGTTCAGGCTGGTCTGGAACTCCTGAGCTTAAGCAGTCCACCCACCTGGGTCTCCCAGAATGCTAGGATTTCAGGCATGAGCCACCTCCCAGGCTACTATAGATTAGTTTTGAACTGCTTGTAAGTGGAATCAGGCAGTCTTTTGTGTTTGGTTCATCATTATGATAATGTTTTCTTCATTATACCTATGGGATTCATCTGTATTTTCTGTGGAAGTAGTTTGGGTTTTTTTTTTTTTTTTTTGCTATGTAGTGTTTGAATATACCACAATTTATTTGTCTAATCACCTGATGATGAACATTTGAGTTCTTTTCCATTTGGGCTTTTATAAATAACACTGCCATGAATATTCTCATGCATGTCTTTGGTGGAGATACTTACTCATTTTTTTATATCCAAGAGTGAAATTGATGAGGCTGAGAGTACAAATCTCCTCTCTTAGCATTTCCCACATATCTCGTACTCTTACTTTGATTATCAGAAAAATAAGTTTTCACTGTCTTGCCTTATCTAGTTCAACCCTCCTGGCTACAGAAACTTTAGTCTAAGAGCTAGTAACCTAATATATTCCAGGTCACAGACTGGGACTTCCCCCAGTTTCCCATCATTTTTCCCAAACAATTGCTAGTGACTTGGTAATAACATCTACGGTTAGCTGTTATTCATACAGTTGGACTCAAAACAATTGATATATCTGGCGAAGTTAACCCTTTTCTTAGCTGTTTGACTTGATCTTGCACCTTACACTATTTTTATTATTTTTGTTGTTTGGCTTTGGGGTTTTATTGGTGGCAGAGCACTGTCACCCCAGCTGTGGTACAGTGGCATCATTCTAGCTTCCTGTAACCTCAAACCCCTGACCTTAAGCGATCCTCCTCCTTCAGCCTCCCAAGAAGCGGGGACTAGCTGGATGTGGTGGCTGGCACCTGGAAACCTAGCACTGTGGGAGGCCCAGGCTAGTGGATTGCCTGAGCTCACAAGTTCGAGACCAGCCTGAGCCAGAGAAAGACCCTAGCTCTAAAAAATAGTCGGGCATTATGGTGGGCACCTGTAGTCACAGCTGCTTAGGAGGCTGAGGCAAGAGAATCACTTGAACCCAAGAGTTTGAGGTTGCTATGAGCTGTGATGCCGGGGGGCCGACAAAGTGAGACTCTGTCTCAAAAAAAAAAAAAAAGCTGGGATTATAGGGCATACACCACCACACCCAGATAATTTTTCTATTTTTTGTAGAGATAGTGTCTGGCTCCTGCTAAGGCTGGTTTGGAATATCTGAGCTCAAGGTATCCTCCTGCCTTGGACTCCTAGACTTTTAGGATTACAGGCATGAACCACCGAGCCCCATCTTCTAGGACCTACTCTTGAAACCACTAAATCATACTGTATTGTAATTATAAATTTACCTGTAGGTCCCTCCCCCCCACTTTCAGTTTCCCTGAGAGTAGAAATTATGTTACATTCCATATGTACACATAAGAGTTGATTAGTTCCGATTTAACTGCACACATGATGTTTGTAGTAGAGACAGGGTTATGTTCTTGCTCAGGCTGGTCTCAAACTCCTGAGCTCAAGCAGTCCACTAGCCTTGGCCTTCCAGGGTACTGGGATCACAGCCATGAGCCCCCTTACCTGCCCTAAATTGTAAGATTTCAAGAGTGATTCTTGGCCGGGTATGGTGGCTGGCACCTGTAATCCGAGTACTCTGGAAGGCCATAGCAGTAGATTGCTTGAGCTCAGGAGTTCAAGACCAACCTGAGCAAGAGGCCCATACTAAAAATAGAAAAACTAGCTAGGCGTTGTAGTAGGCGCATATAGTCCCAGCTACTCAGGAAGCTGAGGCAAGAGGATCACTTGAACCCAAGAGTTTGAGGTTGCCATGAGCTATGACCCTACAGCACTGTAACCTGGGCAAAAGAAAAGAAAGAAAGAAAGTGATCCTTTGAGTACATGAATCACAACATTGTCCCAAAGCAATTTTAGTTTGCTGGTTTGTTTTTTCCTTGCCAATTAATTTTTTCTTTTTAACTATTCTGCTACTGAGTTGTGTTAATAAAAATAATTGTTTAAACTCTATGTTCTTTTTCCTCACCAATTTTCATTTCAGATGATACCATCTTCCAGAATCCTATGGTACAAGAAGCTATACGAATGGGATTCAGTTTCAAGGACATTAAGAAAATAATGGAAGAAAAAATTCAGATATCTGGGAGCAACTATAAATCAGTTGAGGTTCTGATTGCAGATCTAGTGAGTGCTCAGAAAGACAGTACACAAGATGAATCAAGTCAGACTTCATTGCAGAAAGGTATGCACTGCTGTTTTTAAAAAGTAAGATAAGCCAGCTCAGTGCCCATAGCACAGTGGTTATGGTGCTGGCCACATTGCACTGAGGGTGGTGGGTTCGAACCCAGGCTGGGCCAGCTAAACAACAATGACAATTGCAACAAAAAAAATAGCCTGGCATTATAGTGGGTGTCTGTAGTCCCAGCTACTTGGGAAGTTGAGGCAAGAGAATCCCTTAGACCCAAGAGTTTGAGGTTGCTGTGAGCTGTGACGCAATGGCACTCTACTGA